TCCCCCCCCCCCCCCCTATGAAATTATTATTCTCGATAAGACCACTTGCAACTTTTTGACTGAAATTGGGACGATTATCTGAGCAAATATACCTGAAAAAGAAATACAAATACCAGTTCATTAACTGATCATTACCACCAGGGGCTCATAAATCAACCGTTCAAACTTGGTTGTTGTATTTCTCTCCATTCTTATCTAAACCAGCATGCTATGCCCTGTCGTGTACGGCTGAAGCAATCCGGATACGACTGTTTACCTCTCACCCTCCCATTAAGCAATCAGAAGTGTTTCGTTCGTGCATTATCTCTCTGTCATGACCACGTGTAGAGTGACCACTTGAGTCGAGCGTCATGTTGATTAGAACAAGGAGGTAAATGGGAGACCCATACGGGAGCACGTGGTAGACCATTGTAAGTAGTTTGATACCACCCACGCCCCTCGGACCGTGTCGAATAATCTTGAATATTTTCCCCACGTAATTAAAAAAACAATCTGTGTTGTAGACAGATCGTTTGTTTCACGTATCGGATTTCGTAGTCAGTGTTAGTGATTTTCATGACACCAACTTGCTCGCGCTTAGACAATAGGGAGTGATCAACTCACAGGAGAAATCTTTGCTCCTTAATCTCTCCCGCACGAGAGTGATATCATCTCAGTCTGGAAAGGTAACTATATTCTACAATGTCGCTACGGCCCTCAGAAGTTATTGTTTCCAATTGTGTCCTCCGGTGCCTCCATTATCGATCCACATCGTTCTGCGTTCCGTCACTGATATCTCACTGCCGGTGTATGGGAAATCACATGCAAGTGGATGCTCCATCTTAATTATTTTTTTTTCTTCCCACCTGCTAACTTAAAGCTTCACAATGGACTGTTACATTTCTGTCCTCCACTCCCTGTTCTAACTGGCGTGTCCCGTTCAGATGAGTGGTTTAATTAAATGAACTGATTTCTTACAAGCCTGCTACGCACTGCCGGAGCCACTCAATCGCACACTGTTGTTTCCATTCGATGATGTAATTAACCATTGCGGTATCGTGTGAACTCGCTGATTGACCACGCCACCGCGGTTATGGCCACAGATTGCCTCCTTGTCTTCCGGAGTGTGACTTTCTTATTGTGTTTTTATTGCTCGACTGTCTATGGGCGGAAAATACAAAAAATACAACAGACAACCTACAGGTGTTTTCACGCACGTCACTTGTCGTGGTTTGCTCTTTCAAGCAAATGTTGCATTATAGGACCCGTAAACACTGCAGTTAGCCCTGAGTCTTTTTTCTGTGTTCGGAATCGCTGAGTGATTTATGATCACACTCTTTTTTCATCAATTTATACGACAAATCACACTGAATGATATCCTCACACTTTGCATGGCTTTTCGCCCTTCAGACACACACTTAGAGTCCACAGGTTTTTCAATCTAAGATTACCTGTGTTAGACTTATCGCACAGTACAGTGACGAGCCCTTGAAGTAAAGGACACGTCCAGCCGCGCATCCCCTCTCACATGTGAATCGAGCTTGCTTGTTTTCATCTGGCGTGTCTCTAGAAAGCGTTTGCATTGGACAGTAGAATGCCCAACATCACTGTATGATACATAATTCGACGGTGAATTCAACGAACCCCTCAGCGCTGTCTTCCACAGCACACCGTCCAAGAAGTACCAGGACATCTTGAAGTAACACTACGATATCTTCCATAGACATCAGGTTATCTTACGGTGAAATAGGTATAATGTTCAGGACCACTTTCCATGTTCATCGACCCACATCTCTTGATTCTTTTAGTAAAATCATCCTGTGTGATATTTGGGTGTTAGACATCACCTGACATGCTATGCGGATATCACCGTGACACTCCTAACCCAAGGCTTAGCTTGCTGGTAGATTTCACCATAGTTAAGTGCGTTTTAGCGAAATTCCTTCTTTTTCAATATAAAGAGTCCCACTAGGGACTCAAAAGGGTATGCACTGCTGGCGAGTCCCAAATCTTTCCATAGCTTATAAAGTTAATCACCTTTCAGTTCATTTCAGTCTTCTGTTCGGTCTAGCCCTCCATCGAACCGCGTACATTCTCACTCTATCTTTTTCCTCTTTTTCTCACATCCATTACATCAAGATCTTATCAAGTGTGTTTCCTCCTCTTCCACCCGGTCCCGTTATAAGTGTATATTTGCTCGTACGACCGCTTATCGGTCTTCTGTGGTGCCCTATCTTGCCCGATTTCTTGTCAGCGCAGAAAGCATTGCTTCGGACCTCTACTCAGTTATCTCTTAAATTGTATTCATTTTCACCGCTCACGATAATTATGCTATAATTTTGTTCGATAATTGTTAGATGACTATGTGACTGCTGAATATCCACCTTTCGGGGTGCATAAAGCAAATACTTGACTTGACTTGCTTCTCTAGTTATCTTTCGGTTCTGGAACGGATACAGTCGCACCCACAATTACCGTCGCCTCAACCCAATCGAACAACAACAACAACGCTACTATCTTCACATACCCACTCAACGGTTCCGCACTCCAGGCCTCATCCGGTGCCCCACCACCACCAGAGCATCGTGCCTCAATACAATCTGGACGCAAACAGTCCACAGTGTCCCAACCATCCACACAACAGATCCAATTAAGTGAAACCTCTTCACTAAGTTCCTCCGGTTGTGGCGGCCTGGCTGACTCCGGTCGCGGAGGCAGCTCCTCACTGGCTCCCTCCACGAACGGAGNACGTCTGTTGGTCGTGGACGTCGTGATCCGTCCACCAGTGGTCTAGCTTGGTCCAAAACCGGCACCACTGGGAACGATAGCAGTCTTCTGGATTCGGACGAGGATGAGGAGGAGGAAGAGGAGGAAGATGATTTCGAGTCCAGTAGTCATGAGGTAAGTAATTCTCAATTGTTGTTATCTTAATAATTGCTCTGATACCTAGACTGACGTCTTGATAAACAATAACCGAATGAGGGAAGGCATGTTAACCCCAAATACGAACGGAACAGGATCCGATATTCGAATCCCGCTGCCCTACTTTGGTGGCAGGTAGCTTTACTGTCGTCCGGTTCTATACTGTGCCTAATGTGGGTCACCGCTCCAATTTCCGGAATTAAGTCACCACCTTCTGTTATGGAACAGTAGGTCCTCGAGACCCTATGGTTTACCAGGTCCGCTGTTCATCACACAAACGTGTGCAATAAAAAAAATCAAATCGAAGAAATTCTAGTCGCTGTCGTGATCATTTTCTTTTTCAATATTATTTCCGAAATGAATTTTCAGTGATTAGAAGTAAATACTGTTTCAAAGCGTATCAATCCATTATGCGATTATAACCAGAAAGGATCACCATCGCGTTTGTCGACTACCGCATAATGCAGTCAATGTGTAGGAACGCTTTGGACTGTGTGGTTTATGCATGAGTTGAGACGGCTGGGTCGATTTGCCACCTCAATCTCTAGGCCCGTCCATTCACCAAATGTGCGTGTGTGTGTGTGCTCGTAAGCCGGACGCAGTCAAAAAAATTATGACAAATTTGAAAAGAAATAATCAACATTCTGGTTCCATAACCGGATGGTGCTCACACATGCGCACTGGTTCGGGTCATTACGAGTGGGTGGTGGGATGGGTGTCGTGTGTGGTGTTGGCCATGGAATACTGAGCGTTCTTACGAATTGTTTTTGCGAGCACAGGGGGGATTATGTAGGCATATTCCGATCGTTTCCGTTGTGGCCAGAATGCGACTCCTTATCCTCTTAGATCGACGGCTGTGAACCAAACAGAGGGGTCGAAACGCCTCCGCCACATTAACCACATGCTTTGATTCCACTAGGTGAGAAATGATCGAGCTGTTGATAGTCTTAATTACTCCACTATTCAGCTGGGCCGGGTGGTGCTCACGGACTCGTTCAGATAAACGTCTGCTCATAAGACCAATATACCTTGTCCCACAGGATCAGTTAAATAAGTACATACAAAATGAGACGGCAGAAACGGGCGATTTATTCTTGATTTGAAAGCACAAAAGTTGCCTGGAGATGAACACAATGCGTAGCTTTGCTGCGCGGAGCGCTCTCTCTTCAATTGTACTTAGTTTACGTGTCACCATCTGGCCTGAAAAACCTGGCCGTTTTCCGGCGACAAAAAAAACGCTAAATCGATTTCTTTCTTTGATTGTTACATTGATCTGTCCGATACAGTCTGGATCCGGACAAATGCGAAATGGCTGTGTTAAACACAAGGCATCTTATATGCTACATTCTGTGGTATGAACTCCACAGTGTCTAATTTCTATCTAACTAGTGCGTTCTGTACTCGCATCAGCAGTACTGTTCCATGTCACTTGGCACCCAGTCTCCGTTTGTGCGCGGCAACCAATGAAAGAGAACCGAGGCATTATTACCGGGTGAGAGAGATTATTTTTTTCTCGTCCTGCAGATGCTGTGATTGGTTAGCAGGACAATCTGACGGACATGGGAACGAACTGATACCGGTGACGTTCCTGTTCACTTTTCCAAACAGGTCGGACTACTTCAAGTTGTTCATCTGCTAGACTGCCAGCTCTCGTCAATCATGTGGGTTCACCCTCTTTTTTCCGCCCTGAAAAAGCTTCATTCAGACCATTCATTTCACACATTCACACTTCATCGATGCACACACACATTGTGTGCTTGACGGTGTACAACGGAGTCCGCTCTCCGATTTGATGAGTTGTGCGTGTTTTTGAGACGATAACCACAACTGTGCTACCAAAGTGTGTGTGAATTTTTCGTTTATCTTAACTTGTGCTACGCCCTCAGCCTAGAATGTCTACTCTACCACTACCGACCTACCACACTGACGTACATGAGTGCAGAAATTTCATAAGGGATTTCGGTATGTGTTCTGTCAGCGGGCTATCCCGGACAGATAGTACTTAAACCCCGGTAGTTGAAAAATTAACATCTAGTTATGGTGATAAATGGTGTCCCAACGGCTATACGGCTAACCTGACAACATTCGTGCACACTGCATAATGTTACCACCAGTGTTCAATGATTATCGTGCTGATAATTCCCTTAACTCATCGAAAAAGTATCCTGACCTTTTATCTAGGTCATTCGGGATTTCATAAACCGCACAGCTGATTTGCGGGTCAGGCTTTGGCTAGCCGAATTCCCTAAAAAAGTTCATCTTCTTTAGCCCGGATAACTTAGCAGTATCGCCTCCTCGAGCAAATCATGGATCTTTTTCTTATTTAAAGATGATTTTATCTTGATTTGTTTGTCACACAGTCTGAACTCAGACGTGTTCGGGGAAAAAATTAAAAAACAACAACTCGTTTGGTTCAGCCTCACCCTAACTGAGAATGTAATGGAGCAAGTGGACAAATTTTGTTATTTGGACAGCCGTAACTCATCCTGTGTGCGCTGAGACACTGAGTGTCACAATACTGAGTATCGTAAACAGTGCCGCTCGTGTATCTGCCCCTTATCTTTGCAATCTAGGTCTGCCGGAATTCTCGATTTTCTCTTCTACTCGACTACCGACTTCCTCTATCTCTCTTCCACGCCTTCTTCCGAATAGACAGTCAAAAGACAGTAACCCAAACCGATGCACGAAAGTCCATGGGTAATGCTGGCACAAACTGAAACTGATTGAACTAAACCCTGGGCCAACCAACGTCTGATTCGCATGTGTGAAATATGCAGTCCAGTATAACATCCAGTCATGCTCTTCGGACGGCGTCGAACGTCCAAAGGGCCCAACACACCTGGATGCCCGACCAAGCTGATACGCTCTATCAGATCAATGTAGGATTGGGTGTGGTTTGTGTACATCTACTTGGTTATGTGATGTTTAGCTAACTCTAGATGAACTGCCAGCATTCCACCGACCCAGTCATTGGCTTCTCTTCATCATACTTTAGTGATTAAACGTGTTCACAGCGTGAATGCGTTGACTAAAGAGATTCTTCAATACTGGCTATTTGAGATACTTGTTCGTATGGTAACATTTTGTGCGGGGCAAAGGGGGCGTGACCAATCACCACATTAGACACACATCACCGATCTTACTGAGGCGCTCGGATCCACGTTATTTTTTAAAAGTTAAGTTTGTTTCCGCCCTCCGATTTTGCTTTACTGTTTTTCAACTATTGAAAAGCAATGTCGAAGCCTTGTATAGCCGTTCCATTCTGTTTGTGTGGAATCAGCAGTAGTACATGTGATCTTTTTTGTTAACCGACGGGGCTACGGATTAGGATGAAAACGGGTGAATGGGAAAAGTTGTTATCCGGACACTAGGATTTGAGTAGATGTATACTCAACCCCGTCACCAACCGTCGATCAGATTGATCTCGACCCTGTTCCAAGAGCCCAATTCGACGCAATGATCCAGATTTTCGGACTTTCAGGCTCTTCCAGTTTTGGCCCATCCGTACCCGAGGAAGCGAATTCTATTGGAATCATATGCACATTTTCCCATGACTGGAACTCTTTCGGAAATGCTAGTATTTTCACTCATCATCATCCACATAGTATTTTTGACACAGGACAAGACGAAGTCAGTAGTCATTAGTCACGTGAAGTGACATCCGGCTGTCTGTTAAGGGTCGAGTGTATGCTGCGGCAGTTCGACCAGTCCTGCTATACTGCGCGGAAACTTGACCATTAAGGAAACAGGATAAAGATAGACTGTCGGTGTTCGAACACCGCTGCCTACGCAGCATTGCACGAATCTAGTGGGGCAGTTGGACGAGCAGTGCTGAGGCTAGGTGTAGAGTTTTAGTCAGTCGCGGTCATCCACTAGAGTAAGTGGTCGACCTTCATAGATTACGTTGGTTGGGACATGTTTTACGCATTTCACCAGATAGATTGCCGTGGCAAGCGATGTTCGCCGAGGCAGGTATTCGGTGGACGAAAGCCAAGGATGGTCAAGCTAAGACCTGGCATGAGGGTATGAAAACCCTAACCAGGAGTCTGGGTCACACAGACCCCGTTAGGCTCCCTGGCTGGGGACCTCGGGATGATGCTCACCGATGGTTAGAGACACTGAGTGATATGGCTCAGTGTCGTGCATCTTGTCGATTTCTCTGCAAAATTAGTGCAATGAAATCCTACATTTTCTCTTCGATCTTACTTTGAACCTTTCCTGTCTTTCTCCTCATGTTCATCAAAATTTGTAGCCAAAAGACTTCAATCAAAACCGGCGCACGAAGGTGCATGGTTAATGGTTGTAGAAACTGAAAAACTGAACATGAAGTGAGATATTGTCCACCATAAAGTTGGGAAGAAATGGGCAAAAATTTCGGAGGTTTAAGCGGGGTGAACTCGGACCATAAGCGTAAAGCTTATTGGTCATCAATTCCGCTCAGTTTTTACAACCGGTTTTTGTCACCGTATCGTGACTCCCCTCTGGTTTCGCATCATGACAAACAGCTTCTTTTGTACAACCCCACACTTCGGAGAATCCAATCGATGTGATATGCAAACGGTATTTGACTCGTTTGTGTGCATTTATTCGAATGAGTTGATGACGACCTAATGTGTTGCATGAAAATCCAAAAGGTGTACGTGGATCGGGAGCAGCCTTTGTATGACTGCGGTCCATTCCTGAAAGTTGATTGTACGTCTGTATACGCAATCATTAAAACGGACGTAAAACGAAATTTTTCCGTTTATTATGTATAGTGTTTATTCACACTGGATTGTACAACTTCTTCGCGTTATCCCTTTCACAGTCCTTACGCGATGCTTTCTGGGAATCCATACTCAAAGAACCGGGGGATCGAACAGATGAAGATATACAAATTCTAATGGATAATGTGCAACAGCTGCCTGTGAGTTTCTGAAAAAATATATTTTTAATTGTTTTTCTCCTTCTTCTTCTGGAGTTTCTTCTTGTCTATTAGCTGACACTATCCGTTTTTCGGTAACAATCCATTTTTCTAATTAATCGATCTATGTTGCTTTCCTGTCGATTTTGCATCCGAAACTCTTCGAATTCAGAGATTAATTTATCAAAAGTGTCAAATGTTCTTTTTCTCAAATCGGAAAACCAATCTAAAACCTAGTGTGAAAGATTGCGTATTCTAAGATTCTATTCATCTGATTATCGTCGAATACGGGGAGACATGATCCTCGTTTATCATAAACTATATCAACTTAACCACCCATGTAGTATTCTGCTAACGCTATCCAGGAATGGTCACCTCAGGTGATATCCCTTTAAACTTTTGCTCCAAAATAAGTCGGCTAGACTGCAGGCGTCAGCCCCAGAGTTTGTATCACCTGGAACTCTCTTCTATCTCAAATTGTTTGTTTCAATCATCAATTGATTCAAGTCACAACTCGATAAAGTACTGATACACCTAACTCTTCAGCACCTGTGAATGAACGTTAAATTTTGCTATTTAACTGTTCTACCAATTGGCTCAGTGTGTACAGACCCTATGGGATTCAATAAGCATCAGCTTCGTGAATTTACCCATAGTAAAAATTTGAATTCATATTCTCTGATCCATGTACTTTATGTGATGCACATTGTCTTTCATTGTTAAGCCAAACTGAAGTTTATTTTAACGTAAATCTTCCCACACAATGTGCGTTGATCGTAAAATTTTACCCAACTCTTTGGTTCGACTTCGATAAAACCATTCTGTTCGGGGTTGTTAGTGATTGTGGGAACAGTTCCGGATGTACGTATCTTTCCATCACTTCGTCCATTTCCTGGAAAATCTGTGTTGGTTTTCTCTAGACAAAAAATAGCGCACACGTNCGCACACGTGTACCCCCACCCCCATGTGTCCACCCCGACCCCGATTTACCGAATCCGCCAAGGGAAGAAATGCATTCGCGGTTTCGTTAACCATGTACAAAAATTCACGAGATGGCTATATCGTGTGTGCTGTATAAAAACATCTGTTACCCTGAAGATCCCAGCTGCCTGGTGCGCATCGTTTTGTTTGGTAACAACTACGGTATTCTTTTTGCGGGTAAAACTGCAATAGTTAATTGCGCAAAGTATTCTCATTCTACTTGTATTGGATATCCGAGATATTCGAGGCCTTTGAGCATCACCTAATAATAGTTATAGTCTAACTGAGCAGTTAATGTTGCCAACCGGGCTGCTACATGTTGTCTAGCAGTTGAATCTCAAATGAAACACCTGGAGTATAAGAGCGGATTGATTAGTGTTTATCAACTTGAAACATTAATGCGCCGCCGCGGTATCTGGCTGTCTGTCAGTGGTGAAGCGTGTGCTGCAGCCGATCGGCCGATGCTGCTATACGGTGCAGAAACTTGCAGAAACAGGAGACACTTATGGA